TATCTGAGTTATCGGGTCGACTTTATCACTCACCGACTGAGACTCACTGCTTTGCCCACCTTTGATATCTATAGGAACAGATGTGGAATTGCAGCAAAAGGCTTCCAGGCATGCCTCATTGCTCAACGATAGCGGGACGACGTGTGTTCGGTTGTAGGATTTCCAGAGCGTACAGAAGTAAAAGGCCCGAAGAAACATATTGCGCAAAGGCGGGCTACCCGTATTCGGCAGGTTGGTGGGGTCGTACTCGTGAACTATTCACAAGGTGGACAAATCATGTTTCAGGCCTCGCCCTCGATGAAGCCGTGAGATTTTGGATACAGAGAATCGCAACGTTATTGAGCCATGCCCGTATGCGCGGCGGCCAATGGCTTTTGTCTAACTGTCCAACGGCGCAATGGGTGTCACGTACCATCTGGGATGCATGTTCGGAGCAGCAACATCCGCCTGGGTAAGTCAGGCCAAGCGGTGTCTCCACCTCGGTTGGCAACCGAGGCGGCTCGCATGAAGAAAGGTCTCGTCCCGTGAAAAGAGGCAACACGTGCCGACGTGCGCGTTGCGACAATTATTTACCATCGTGCCTCTCCTTCGACCGTTTTCAACGGCTTCACTATGCGGTTTTAGCTGCAGACCCTGAAAGATGGAGTCGCCAGACAGAATCGAGCCCGACGCACCGTCAGCTCAACCGCCCAGTCGGATAGAAACCGACCCAAACTTACCCACATCCGCAGCGCCGTCTGACGACCGAGACTCCACCAATGCATCCCACCACGACGACCATGGCATTTCATTGCGCGAAGTCGGTCCTGTATCTGTGCGACTTGAGCATCTCACAGTTTCAGTGGACGAGTCGCCAAATGCCGTCGCACGCCTCTTCTCCAAAAAGAAACCATTGGGCGACCAAAGCCATGTCAAAACTATCCTGGACGATATCTCGGCAGGCATGCCGTCTGGCAGCCTTACTGCCATCATAGGAGGGAGTGGCAGTGGAAAGACATCGCTGCTGAATTCTATGAGTGGCCGCTTAGCCATGGGAAGCAGACTGGCGACTTCGGGCCGCACGCTGTTCAATGGCAGCGAAGACATATCGCAGATCAGAAGCGCATACGTTATTCAGCAAGACATACTCCTTCCAACTCTGACGGTCAGAGAAACACTCATGTATGCCGCGCAGTTGCGCCTGCCATCATCTGTCACCCAAGCCGAACGGAAGCGGCTCGTCGAAGAGGTCATTCTCGAGCTGAGCTTGAAAGAAGCAGCTGATACGAGGATCGGAAATCATGCACATAAGGGCTGCTCAGGCGGAGAGAAGAGAAGGACGAGCATTGGTGTACAACTCCTGTCGAATCCCTCGCTGTTATGGCTAGACGAGCCAACTACTGGATTGGATTCAACGAGCGCTTTCCAGGTCATCAAAACCCTGCAGACACTGGCAAGAAAAGGGAGGACTATAATCGTTACTATTCATCAACCGCGTTCCGAGATATGGGATCTGTTCGACAACGTCATTCTTTTGTCGAGAGGCAAACCTGCATATGCTGGTAGTGCAAAGGAATGCCTACCATACTTTGCAAAACTGGGTCATGAAATGCCACCATTCACTAATCCAGCAGAGTATCTGATTGATGTTGTCAGTATCGACAACCGCAGCGCAGAAGCTGAACTTGCGGCCCAGGAACGGGTCGGTCGTGTGATAGAGGCGTGGCGAGTACACAGTAACAGTAACTTTAATGAGAAGGACGGGGCTGGTGCATTGAGTGCGTCTGTTACAAAATCTTCAATAAAGGGCAAGCGGAATAATCGCACATCGTTCATCCAACAGACTCGTGTACTTACCGCAAGGACTTGGACCGTGACCATTCGCGACCCAATGGGTAAGTAGTATCTCAAACAACAAAAACATCCAAGTATCGCTGACAAGAATGTCTTCAGGTATGTTTGGCAGTTTAGTTGAAGCTATTGGTATGGCCGTAATCACCGGCTGGATTTTCCTACAGCTCGACGGCTCCTTGACGGGTATACGATCTCGTCAAGGAGCGCTCTACAATTCAGCTGCGCTTCAAGGATATCTCATTCTGATCTATGAGACATACCGGCTTACCACCGATATTCAGCTATTCGATGAAGAAGCACGACAAGGGGTTGTCAGCATACCAGCCTTTCTCATCTCTAGAAGGTTGGCCAGGATCTTTATCGAGGACATTCCCGTCCCTCTCATCTTCTCCCTAATCTACTACTTCTTTTGTGGATTCCGCACCGACGGAGGTCAGTTCCTTACCTTTTTTGGTATAATATTGCTACACCAGTACATTGCCGTATGTTTCGCCATGACTTGCATTGCAGTCTCGAGGAACTTTGCTGGTGCGAGTCTGGTCGCCAATCTAGCATACACTCTGCAGTCCATGGCCTGTGGTTACTTCATTCAGTCAAACACCATTCCCATCTACGTACGCTGGACCAAATGGATTGCATACGTCTTTTACGCTTTTGGGGCTCTATGCGCCAATGAGTTTAGTGGCCATTTCTACGATTGTCCACTCGAGGGCGGACGATCGAATCCTGATTGCAAAGAATACGACGGCGATTTTATCATGGATTCGCTTGGCTTTCCAAAAAATTGGATCTGGAGGCCCATACTTGCGCTTCTTGGTTTCGTGATTGCCTTTTACGCTGGTGCGGGTGTGCTGCTCAAGTTCTGGAATGCTGAAATCGCTATGGCGCGCGCAAGACCGACCAATACGGATGCTTCTGCTGGCAAAGAGAAAATGAACGAGCGACCGCCTGAGAATGTAAGAACTATTGATATCAGGCTAGAAAACTATGGGTTGGACGTTGAGAAGCGTTCACTGCGGAAAAGATCCACAAAGACTATTCTAAACCCAATCACAGCAGACTTCCGGCCCGGCTCGCTAAACGTGATCATGGGACCATCGGGTTCCGGAAAGACGTCGCTGCTGAATAGTATGGCTATGCGACTCAAAGACGATACGTCAACCCGATACAAGCAGTATGGATCCATGACCTACAACGGGCTAATACCTGCACGGGAAGTCGTCAACTCAATTTGCTCCTTTGTTACACAGGATGACGACGCACTTCTTGCCTCGCTGACTGTACGCGAGACTCTGCGTTATGCAGCTGGATTGCGTTTACCAAAGTGGATGTCTAAGGAGCAAAAGATTCAAAAGGCCGAAGAGATTCTCCTAAAGATGGGTCTCAAGGATTGCGCTGACAACCTCATTGGTAACGATCTCGTCAAGGGCGTTAGTGGTGGTGAGAAGCGTCGAGTTACGATCGCTGTGCAGATTCTCACGGAACCGCGGGTGCTTTTGCTTGATGAGCCCTTGTCTGGACTCGATGCTTTCACGGCTCTCTCTATTATGGACGTCCTCCGCGGACTAGCACAAGAAGGCCGCACGCTCATCGTAACGATCCACCAACCACGCAGCGACCTGTTCCGTCACTTTGGAAATGTTCTTCTCTTAGCTCGCGGTGGACATCCAATCTACACAGGGCACTCAACCGATATGTTACCTCACTTTGCAGGCTTAGGCTATGAATGTCCAGAGCATGTCAATCCCGCTGATTTTGCGCTCGACCTGATAACAGTCGACCTTCAGCACGAAACACGTGAGGCTGCCAGTAGGAAGAAAGTGCGCAAGCTCATTCAATCATGGAACCCTGATGCCTTTCCCCTTGCTCGTACCGGCTCGATTACAACACCTGCAGAACTAGGAAGCATGGCACGAGAACCTTCGTCATTCTTTTCGGCATACTCAATCTTGCTCCGCAGGTCGACGAAGAATATGTTTCGCCAGCCAGACATTATTATCGCGCGAATCATGCAAGTTTTCGGTCTGGGCATCGTGCTTGCACTCTACTTCTCTCCGCTCAAGACCGATTACTTCTCTGTGCAAAACAGACTTGGATTTCTGGTCGAAATCGCGCCGCTCTATTTCGTCGGCAGTAAGTGCTTCTCTACACAGTTACCTTGAGCTGTGCTAACGTCATGCAGTGCTGAACAATATCGCCGTTTATCCACTTGAGAGAGATGTCTTCTATCGAGATTACGATGACCGTGTCTACGGCGTGGAAGCATTCTTCCTCACATACATCAGCATCACCACGCCCTTTGAAATCATCAGCTGCCTTATGTTCTCGGTCCTCGCCGTGTTCGCCGTCGGTCTAGAACGCAATGCAGAAACATATTTCATCATAACCTTCAACGCGTTTTGCATCACCAGCTGCGGAGAGAGCCTGGGTATTGCATTTAACACACTATTTACGCATACTGGATTCTCAGTCAACTGCATGTCTGTCTTCCTCAGTGTCGCACAAGTCATGGGAGGCGTTCTCTCGCTCGACGTCCCTGGCTTCCTGCAAGCCTGGAACCACCTCTCGCCTGTGAAGTGGGCTGTCGGCAACATGGCACCCTTTACACTACGCGGCTTGAAGTTTACCTGTGAGGATTGGCAGCGCGTCAACGGACAATGTCCCATTCAGACTGGAGAACAAGTACTTGACTTGTACAATCTGAACAAGAACGCGAAGATGTATCTCATGGCGCTAGGTATCTGCGCAATCGTGTATCGCTTCCTTGCATATGTTGTGTTGAAGATGGTCAAGGAGAGGTGGATAGGCAGACTGTGGAGGAAGATGGGCGGCGGCAAGAAGAAGTATACTGCTGAAATTACGCGTGAGGCAAACACACCTACACCTGCGTAAAGTAGCAAATGGCCGAGAAGAAGACTGTAAATATTCAGGCTATTCCAATTGCATCTACCTTTGGTGCAGCTGACCAAAACAAAAGTAGATTTCCAAGCTTCCAAGATCAAATCTGTAATAATGTAACCCCAAACGTCAGGTGACCATAGTAATATACAAAAAGGAACTATCTGCGTACATGCAAGAAGATAAAACCACGGTAAATCCCAATCGCCCCGAAAATAAACAAGAACCCACGCTAAACATCCTTGCCCTGCACGTGTGTAATACCGCGATTAGACCCTATGACCCCACAGATGCAGCGAATTCCCCCCCACCCTATTCCTCGTATTATCCCAGCCAGCATCCTTCAGCGTCAGCACCTTAGACACAGCATCGTTATACCTAAACGTCTGACCCTTCTCCCACAGCCCATTCCCCAGCTCAATGCACTCGGTAACCGCCGTACCCTCAAGCTCGTCTTCAGGAACCCCATCATGGCAAATCTGAATGAGGCGATTTAACCCAGTGGTACTAGCCGCCGCGAGCTGCTCAATCCCAAACGACGCACCGGGCGACAACCACGGACAAACATTGCCGGTGATGCGCATGAAAATCGTGTGTTCGGCCGACTCGACCAGCATGACGCCCGGAGGAATGGCCCCGGCAATCTGCGATACGTCGGTCTGAGCGGGCTGCGCGTCATGTCCATTGTTTCCGTCGTGGACGAGCGGTGCCGGGCGGTAATGCTGTGTGGCAGCGCCGCCGGCACCCATTATGTTCATCGGCGGAGGCATTACTACGCCGCCGGCTACAGCGGGAACGTTTCCAAATGCCAAACCGGCGCCGGCGGCGGGACTCCAAAGAGGCGCGGGCGCGGCAAATGGCTGGAGCACGCCTGCCATGGCGCCGGGGGGTGGGGGTGGAAAAGCTACGCCGGTGGCGTGCAGACCGAAACCTATGCCGTACTGAGCATTGGGGAGGAAGTTGCCGGTGCGGATGGGGGCGAGGGGACCGCCGCCTGGGGGTGGTACAGCAAAGCCACCGAGGAGGAAGGGATCCATGAGGCCGAGGGTAGGATGAGAGAGGACGGGTGGAGGAAACGCACCTATGCCTATGCCGAGGGGAGGGGCAATGTCTATGGGCAAAGGGGGCCCATAGATAGGATTATGCTGGTGTTGTTGTTGTTGTTGTTGTTGCTCGACGACGACTTGGGGTGGTCCTGCTGCTGCTGCGCCGGGAGCGGCTGCAGGTACCGGTGCAGGAGGGGCCTGGGGGATGGGACCACCACTGAACCCGTGGATTGGGGGTGGTGGGGGGTCGCGATTGATGTTGGGGTTGTTGCCGACGTTGACAGGCCAGGGGTGGCCTGGTGGAGGGCCGGCTGACATTGACACGATAAGACGGGACTAGGGGTCTAGTCGATGAGGCTGATGCTTAGAGTAACGTCTTGGTGAGACCAGCTAGAAAGGCATCTGACTATGCTGTGGTTTGGAGACAGGGAATTTCTTGTCTTCTGGGCTGCCGGGTGCGAGGACAGAATGGAGAAAGTGAGGAAGGAGCATGGTGTCTTTTTTCTACTGATAAATACATATCAGTGTACGTTGGTGGTAGCTGCGATATGTGAAGATGGAGGTGACGAGTTTGGCGAACACCCTGCAATTCACATGGCGCTGTTTTTTTTGAATGCGCATCGTTGATGGTAAGGGCTAATGTGTTGTGTAGAAAAAGAATGTTTGAAAGACGAACACGTCCATGCGCTGGCACTGGGTGCCCCCTACCGAGCAAACAGCCTCGGAACCGCCAATGTTTCTTGACTGTAGTGCATGGCGTGGATGCTCTATGCGCAAGCAAGAATAACATTTTACGGTTTATGCGAGTAGCTCGTGTGACTGTAACGCACGGTAATCTTACTGGACTAGAAACCTGTCAGTGATGGAAACTACACATACGGGCTAGAAGGTTTGGCACAAATCCACGCATAGAAAGGGTCATGCAAAATCATCTGGTCCAACTGAAAGAACAATATCGTGATAAATGTTGAATTGAAGTAAGGATACAGATGTATATACATCGAAATGGTGGGCAACTGAGGTATATACAGTGAAGTGAAATCGAACTTCTAGTTCGAGACAAGACCAGCTGAGAAACAAAGCACCCGGGTCATTGTAGCGTCTGCTCAATGGCGTATTGCGCGTCGCGTGTCATTCAGCACACTTAGAAGGTGGCGACCTTGGGGCCGGGAACAACGTAGCTCTTGAAGTTGCTGTAGATGTTGGCAGTGTAGCCAGAGTCGGTAGACTTGACGTGCCCAGGGATCTTGGTGGTAGGAGAGGGGTTGCCGCTGCCGCCACCAGTGACCTTAATCTGTGCGCAAGAGATGTAGAATTGTGGCGGGCTGCCGGGGTTGTGGATACCGAGCTGCTCGATACGGAGGAGGTACTCCCCAGCAGAGACCTGAGAGGGGATGGTGACGGAGTAGGTGGCTGTGATTATGTTAGACAGGAGTTCTGAGGAGATAGATGCACGTTTGACTTACTGCTCAGGTCCCACACGGCCTGTCCGCTGGAGAAGTTGGGGCCAATCTCCTTGATCTTGAACCAGTCACCGGAACCGTCTGAAGAGGCGGCAGAGCTGGCCTTGCTCATGTAGAAGGAAACTGGTCCTTGGTGGTAGACAGCCTGGTCGGCAGTGAAGCTGACGGTCGAGCCAGCAGCAACCGCCACAGTGGTGGTTCCACTGCCGCTGTTTCCGTTGGTGTTGCAGCGGAGGTTCTTGTCCGACAGGTCGGTGACAGGGCTGTTGTTGGGTACAGGCCTGATGTTCTGGAACAAACCTCCCTTGGCGCCGTTGGCAGTCAGGGTCTGGAAGATGTCTTTGGGTCTGTTAGCAGATGTCTCATCCTACACAGCAGTGTATCCTACAGTGAGCCTGAGCAACCTCAGCGAGAGCCGCGAGGGCTACAGTGGCAACGGTGAAGCACTTCATGATTAAAGTTGGAGAATGAGGGTTTGGTGGAGTGGGTAATGAATGGACTGAATGTGCTGCTGATGTTGGATGAGAATGCAAGGCGAACACGCACTGATCTTATATACACTTCTTCACACACTAAAGGGCTTTGTATCCTATATTGCGCGATTCCACACATTTCCAAGCCAGTACAACCTTCAGGCTTGATTGGGCCAGCGATGAAACTCGAAATGAAAGCGCGTCACAGGACTTCCACAATGGGCTTCTCCGTACTGGTAGCGAGGCCGGGACATGAGGCAAACTGTGGATACTCATTGCCGGTGGCGGTTAGCCGAGACGCCTTCAAGAGACAACCTGGTGACACAAGATCAGGGACACCGTGTGACCTCACAGAAAGCAATATTGCGATTATAGTACCTAGTAATTTACGATGAACAGCCATGGGCATGAACGTGTCAGAAGAGATAACTGAGCGAATAGGAATGGGCAACCTTGTAAACAGTAGTGGGTCCGTGGAGATGGCAAAACCGGATTGGCGCCCATGTGAAACTGAACAATGCCAAATGTTCAAGATATATTAATATGTGGATTAATATGTTTAGATTGTCATGGATCCAGCTAAGGCGGACCTGTCGAACCGGTCGAAAGAAAAAGGAAATAACACCGTTTTCTGAATCGCCCAGCCCCGCGTTCGGAGTCGTGTGCATACTACGCCGTTATGTGTAGTTGATGGCTGTGTGTTTGAGAACACATCCTGTGCACGGATGCCGAGTCAGTAACGGCTTGGTGTGTCCGGAGTCTTCATCATAGAACCCGATACCAGACGATGCAGCGAGGTATCGTCGAGTTACATCAGATATGAAGATAATCCAGCTAACTCCGCGCCGGGTTTGGTCTTTACAGAAATACTTCCAACTCCGTAGAGGAATGTCGACTGCGATTGTTGTTTTGGCGATCGACCCGGTTCCAGTTTTTTTGGTGTTTCAGGGGACTGGTTGTGGACGTTCTAGAAATTAGGAAGGAAAATCGAGATCTGCAACGGCTGGACGCCTGTCGCACGCCACTGAGGGATACATACATAGGCGTGCATGCCCGCGGCGCATTCAAAGGGACGGCTCTGAACACTGGTGTTTTTAGACAGTCCGCACCGCACGACACTGCCCATTGGACATTCGGCGCATTTCAGTCGTACAGACAAGATGTGATCCGAGTCTTTGTCTTGGTTATTGGAAGCGTGGCATCGAGGCTGTTAAAAGACGAGTGTGGCAAACAACGAGTTGTTCCTAGCAGACGCACTGTCGCATACGGCACTGCGTTGTCGTAAGTAGAGGCTCAGAGTTGGTGGATACGGATAGCGATGGCGCATGGCGAATGGTTGAATGGTTGAGAGGTAATGTGCTCCGGTTCTCGGAAAGGACAGGCAGGAGCGGGGTAGAGAGTGCACGTGATTCGTCACTTGGACTTCTCGCCTCGACATTTAGACGTCTACTACCAATTTGGCAAGTCCTCGCAGCCGTCTGCAGAGCACAGATAGGTAACCCGCTTGCTTATCGCCCAAAGACGGTGTGTTAGGTAAAACGTATTTCCCGCTCGCAGTAGCATGCTTTCTTTCTGAAAACTCATCTCCAACTTTCAACTCTGAAATCTTGGAAGCTAACATTGTGTTTGTGCTACGATACATTCAATCAATATGTCTGGGGAACAAGCCACCACTACGGCGCCTTGGCACCCTCTTGCTCCGTTGACCGCAGCAGAACTTCAGAAGGCCGCGGGGATCATCAAGGCATCCTGGCCGGCGCATACGGACTTGCACTTCAAGGTCGTTACATTGGAAGAGCCGCCGAAGACCGAAGTTCTAAAGTACCTGGAGGCTGAGCACGGTGGCAAGCCATTACCGTCTATTCCGAGAAAGGCATTTGTCAACTACTACATCCGCAATACCGTATGTCGCTCATCGTCCGTGCTTTGCAGAATCAGGTATATGTGGCTAACTATTAATCAAAGAGTAAATTCCACGAGGCGATTGTCGATTTGACATCGGGCCGGATCGAGCGCAATCTTCTCTTAGGACCCTTCATTCATGCTAATGGAGATGGCGACGAGATTATTGCCATTGAAAAGGTTGCACTTGCAGACGAGAAAGTGCAAGCCGAGATTGCCAAGCTCGAACTTCCAGAAGGCACAGTGGTTATTAGCGATCCCTGGATATACGGTTCTGACGGCATTGGCGACGAAGACAGACTCTACCAATGCTTTCTCTATCTGAGGGACCCGATGAACTCCTCGGAGGCAGATTCAAATCACTATGCCATGCCGTTGCCGATTTCCCCCGTGGTCAGCACGGAGACGATGACGGTCATTCGCGTCGACTTGCTGCCTACTGGCGTAGACAAAACTATCAAGCCGGTAGGCAAGTACAAAATCCAACCACCCAATGAGTACATTCCGGAGGCGCAAAAGCTGCGAACGGATCTTAAGCCCCTGAATGTTGTCCAGCCTGAAGGCGCTAGCTTCCAGGTTCAACAACAGGGAACGTCGAGTGTCATCTCATGGCAGAAGTGGCAATTCAGGGTCGGCTTCAACCAACGTGAGGGTATGGTGCTGTATGATGTTCGATACGACAACCGTAGCCTCTTCTATAGGCTTAGTCTGAGCGACATGAACATTCCATATGCAGACCCACGCCACCCATATCACAAAAAGAGTGCTTTCGATTTGGGCGATGCTGGTGCTGGTATCATGGCGAACAATCTGAAACTTGGCTGTGATTGCCTAGGCTCGATTTATTACCTGAGCTCTGTCTTGTCAGACGACAAGGGCGGTGTCATTGATATGCCGAATGTAGTATGCATCCACGAACAAGATGCAGGAATCGGCTTCAAGCACACCAACTACCGCACCGGCCGCGCAGTCGTCGCTCGAAGCCGAGAGCTAGTACTCCAGAGCATCATTACCGTAAGCAACTACGAGTACATTCTGGCCTTCATCTTCAACCAGGCTGGAGAGATCAGTTACGAGATCAGAGCAACTGGTATTCTTAGCACACAGCCTATCGATGAGGGCGTCGAGGTACCATTCGGTACCGTTGTACACCCTGGCGTTCTTGCAGTTCACCACCAGCATATCTTCTCATTGCGTGTCGACCCTATGATTGACGGTTACGATAACCGTTTGGTGTATGACGAAGCCTTTCCCATGCCCCGATCAGACTTCAACCCCCACGGAACAGGCTACTACGTCCAGGAGACAGTTGTCGAAAAATCTGGCGGTTACGACATTGCCTACGAGAACAACCGCACCTTCAAGATCCAGAACCCGAATGTGCGAAACCCGGTCAATGGAAAGGCAGTGGCGTACAAGATCCAGGCGCCTCCATTCCAGAAAATCCTGTCGGACAAGGACAGCTTCAACTACAAGCGTGCCGAGTTTTCCGACCACAACATTTACGTCGTCAAGCACAAGGACGGTGAGCTGTACGCTGGCGGCACATACACCAACCAGTCAAGAGGAGGAACTGGTGTGCGGTCGTGGGCTGAGAGGAACGACAACGTCAAGGATACCGACTTGGTAGTATATATCCAAGCGGGCATAAACCACGTACCCAGGATCGAAGACTTTCCTGTTATGCCGTGTGAAATTCTGAAGATTCACCTGAAGCCAGTCAACTTCTTTGACAAAAATCCAGCGCTGGACGTGCCACCAAGCGAGCAGGCGTTCAACAAGAGCAGCCTGTTGAGCGAGCAGCACCAGCAGCCGAGCGTGACTGCAACGGTGGGCAAGGACGGCCAATGCTGCGCACCACAGAGTGCGAAGTTGTAGGATATTCAGGATACTAGATGGCGAAAGAGCCTACTGTGCACATTAGGTCAAGATTGTAAAACAGTACTGCTATATAGAAATTGATATGACTAGAAATGATGCGAGTTGTTTGGGCTGTGTGGATGTTGGCAAGGGTTGGGGAGAGGAGCAGGGCTGAATCGCGTAGCCGCGGTTCGACGCGCCAAGCCCTGGGCCTAGTTCCGTAGCTCGAAGGCCATGGGTGATCAAAGAAACGTCAACTATCTTTCTCCTTCAAACATCTACACACTTGCTCTGCGCCCACATTTACGCACTCTCATACCCCGCAAACTATACCTGGTGACTGCATCCAAGGCATTATGGCGCCAAACGACAAGGCGGGTCGAGTGGTTTTCATAGGAAATATTCCATATGGTATGGGACACTGCGGCTTCCACGCGCAGGTGCACTGCTAACATGATCAACTAGGTGGGACTGAAGAGCTTATTGTCGAAACCCTCGGTCGCGTCGGACAGGTTAACAATTTTCGGCTGGTGTATGACAAAGAGACGGGACGACCCAAGGGCTTCGGCTTCGCAGAGTTCGCCGACGCGGACGCAGCAGCTTCGGCGGTGCGCAACCTCAACGACTACGATCTGATGGGACGTAAACTGAGGGTCGATTGGTCCAACGAGAGCGGCTCTGGCGATAACGCGCCCTCAAGCCGCGACCCGAACACGCAGGCACCCATGGGCATGAACGGCCAGCCGGCCGCAGTACCTCCCCCAGCGCAACCATCGAGCACACTGGGCCCTCTGCCGCCAGGTGTCGAATTGCCGCCCAATCTCACATGCCCCGACGCTATTTCGCGTACGCTGTCTACACTTCCCCCGGACCAGCTGCTCGACATTCTCTCACAAATGAAGGGGCTTGTGATGACGGACCCAGCCAAGGCGACGGAGCTACTGCGACAGGCACCACAGCTAGCGTATGCCATTTTCCAGTCGCTCCTGCTCCTGCAGCTAGTTGACCCGCAGATCCTCACGTCGCTCGTGGAGACATCGGCGGCTCCCGCCCCAATGGCGCAGGCGCCGCCTGTTCAGCCAGTGCAGCAAGCTCCACCACAAGTAGCGCGACCGCCTGTGAACTATGGTGGATATCCGCCCCAGGTTGCGCCCACACCTCCACAGCCCCAAGCACCTGCTCCGCAGCCCTACGCGCAAGCTCCACAGCCAGCTCCGCAAGCACAACCAGCGGCCCTGGACCAGCAAGCGTTGTATGCGCAGGTCATGGCTCTTACACCGCAGCAGATCGATCAGCTGACGCCCGAGTACCGTGCGCAGATTATGCAGATACGGCAGATGCTCATGGCAGGAGGACGTCCGTAGGTAGGATATTTTTCATGAAGCAAGAGATGGGACTTTGTGTTGCTTAAAGGGGCCGCGGACTTTGCGAGCGGACGACCAGAGGATATCTAATGCATGAATAGATACATGGACACTAGTACGGGCAAGCAGAAAGAGGGTCAAAGCCGCTCAGATGTGGCTTGGGGGCTTTGTGGAGGCGGACTACCTATGTAATTGGCACACGGCAGGGTGCAGGGGTGTTGGGCCAAGAAAGAAGCATTCGAGGGCGGTTTGTACACGTCAAGTGGTGAAGGGGGAGTTGAGTGAGGAAACAGAGCCAAAGGCAATCGTCAGACGAGTGAGGCAACAGACGGCACGACTCAGCATGTCACGGCACGAGGATAAGATGGTGGGGGTTCCTTGGGCCGCAATTGCACCGGACACTGGGCGCATATTTTTTTCTTTTCAAGGCAGGGTAGGCTGCGCCCTTTGGGGCGGACTCGATTAGTTTCAGACTTGATACCCGATGGAGATGGCACAGTAGTGGGAGAATAATAAAAAAAAGACATGGAGCTAGTAAGCCAAAAAAATGACAGTGGACGCGGTTACTTCTTTTTTTTTTTTTAATTGTTGCGACGCGAACTTGGCGGCGCATTAGCTCTGATGGAACAGGTGGGACCGTTTAGGCTTGGTGGGAGTGGGCTAGTGGTCGAACAAGAGGCCAATGCGTGTGGTGGAGGGGGAAGATTTGCAGAGTGCAGGTGGGTGTGAGATGGATACCGATGGATGGACGGCGGGCATGGATATCATCAGCGTCATGAGCATGCGCACATGGGCAGCTGCTTGGCATGGCCTTTTGGGGTGTGCTGCAGACAGCCAGGCCGGCACACACGGACAGACAGGTGTATGTACGCACACACAGACACAGACACAGTAAGTTATAGGGACGACGTGGTGGCCGTTGACGCGGCCGTAAGGTGTGTGGTGCGACAGTGCCAGCTGCCAGTGGTCAGTCAGTAGTCCATCATCGCCAGTCGTCAATCGCCAGTCGCCATCTGCCAGCCCGCCAGCCCGCCAGCCCGCCAGCCCGCCAGCC